GACTTGAAGACTTTCGCAATTAGAGATTTTGAAAATTGAAAGTTTTCATAGAATTGGCTCTAGATAGATAAATAGGTTTCGGTCAATCTCTACAGTAAACGCTACTACACAGAGAAAACAGATATAGCTTATTTGTAGAAGAAGTTGAGGCGTACGGCAGAAGGAGTACTGCATGGGTACAGAATCATTCTGCAATTAACAAGATACCCAAACTCAAGATTTTGTTTTCATTTTTTCTTTCTTCTTCGCACTTTCTTTTTTTTCGTTTGTTCTTCTACTACTTTCTGTGAGAATTCTAAACATCTTAAAGTGAAAAATCGGGTTTTTGATATTGAAAAGCTAAAGTTGACTATCCTGAATAATGAATAAAAGAACAAATAAAAGAAATGCAAAACAGATTTACGGTGTAATCTCGGGACAGTCTACAACTAGTATAGATGATACAGTTAAACATAAACTTGTTGAAAACCCATGTCAACATCTAGCAACTTTTCGTATCAGATAATCAGTTCATATCAAACTACTACTTTTTGCTTTTATACACAAAACAGGGCTACCGTAATCTAAAAGCAAAGAATACGACTGTTTTTACAATCAAAGAATAAGCCAGCTTTTCATGCGCTTATTTATAAAGAGGCAAGGTAAGTGCAAATCCGCTTACATGAAAAAATTAAATTATAAATAGGAATCTGACAAGGTGCCGCCTAAATCATAAGGCGATGCACTAGCAACTTAAACTACAAGGAGGAAATAGACTCAGGTATGTAGTTTTCTATGTTACACACTGAAAAGAGTGAAGCGCTACACCATTACTGCCAAGTTTCCTTTAAGAAAGCTTCCTAATTAAGCAATGCCAAAATTCCTGCCGCAAAAAAAAAGGTGCACTCTTATGCCCAAATGCGTCAAATCTGCAGGGATTGTCCGCATGTTGAACAACAGTTCAGAGTCTCAAGGCCGATACGTCGCAATTGTTCGAGCGATGTGAAATTACTGGTGACCGATGTCCTCAAGTGGATGACCATATGGATGGTTACACTGAACTTTGCGCGCTAATCGCCGTAATTTTGCACATTTTTACAAGGAGTTATTTCTAGGAAGACTGACTCTTGAACAAGTCAAACTTGGTGGGATTGCACAAAGTATCATGTTCAACGAAACATATAGAAATCTGTAGATAAAACGCAAAGGTACCATGGGGACCAGTTCTCGTTTTAGGCGCTCAAAAACATTGCAATGAAGTGAAAACAACAAAAAATTCCGTGACCAACTTTTCCCTGTTGGCTTATTTCTACCTCTACGAAAAAAACTGCGATTCAAGCAACTCGTAAAATTACCATAGTCGTGGAAGCAGCAGCCCCCAAAACACTGTGGGGCCAGTTCTCGCGCGCCGATTTAAGCTTTGAATACTCACGCGACTCCAATTCTGTTCGCCATATGAACATCAGCGGTTCGCCCACACTGACAGATGAAGCGATTTTTGCTCCATTTGGTACTCGTCCATGAACTATACTCAGTTGCACAGTAGGTACAAACGACGTTGCGCCTAGCACTGCTTTTGGTGTAATATCACTAAAATACTATTTTTGGACAATTGCGCAATCTGGTCAAAAAAGAGCATTACCTAATAAAGTCGAATCGTGTCGAGACTGTCATTTGTTTCTGTTGAAAAAGACAGTGAACGGCA